GCGCGCGCGCGGCGGCGGCCTCCTTTTCGAGGGGCGGCTCTTCGAAGTAACCCTAAGAGCAGTCGACACTGCGAGGGCGGATAGCAGCACGAGATACGGTGAGGAGCTCTGGCCTCGCGCGTCGCGCTGGCAGGTCTGGCCCACCACGCCGCGACGCGACACGCCGTCCATGTTCCATTCTCGGGGGCGGCAAGGAGGGGGGTGATGAATAGGGGGGGTGGATATCATGGCGTGGGCCATGATATTTCCCCAGATTTCATGGCGCTTCTTCTGGTTTCATTACGTCCCCAGCCCCCCCCCCCCGGGGCGCGCACGTGCCGCTGGTCATGATGTGCATTCACCCCTCTTGGACACCCCACCCCTTGGCAGCTCCCGACATTCCCCAGGCGTCAGCTTCGCGAACCTTTGCTGCCTTCCCGCCCCGCGGAGCGGAGCGGCACGCCAGCATGTCGCAGGGCGGGGAGCGTCGCTGGGGCCGCCCCCGCGACGCGCTGAGCAGAAGTTCCCGACCGTAGCTGCTACGGCAGGTTCGCGTCGTGTCGACTGGCGGCGACCCCGCCGCTGGCATTCAACTATGATTGCCGCCAGCGACCCAGAGTTGGTCGATGTTGAACGTTTTGACGCTTCGGAAACGGCCGATCCTTCAGGGCCGAACGATCCCCGCGGTGTCAGGAGCCAGCGCCGAAGTCGGCACGGCACGAAACTTGCTGTATGCGTTTCGCCGCATCACGGGGAGCACATTCGCTGAAGTCTTGCGGGGGCGTGCCTCGCCACGGTGGTTTGAGATGGGAGCCAGTTGGAATCGACGAAGAAAAAGCGGCATGAACATAAACTGTCGATGGTCTGCGCAGATTTCTTGGTTGTGCGCTTGACCCCCTCGGCGGCGCCTCCGGCGCCGCCCCTGGCGCGCGCGCGCCAGGTATGGGGTCCAGCGCAGACCCAAGAAATCCGCGCGGACCGTCGAAAGTTTATGTTGATGCCGTTTTCTGTTATCACACAATGGCATAAACATAAATGACTCGAATGACAGCGCGGATTTCTCACCCCACTGGCGCCAGGAGCGCGCCAGGGGCGGCGCTTGAGGTGCCGCGGGGGGGGGGTCCAGCGCAGATCCAAGAAATCCGCGCGGACCGTCGAACATTCATGCTGGTCAGTGTTTTCTGCCTCTGCAGGCGCAGAAGAAGTGGTAGTGGTGTCTGGAGGGCGCTGTACTGCTGTGCCCCCCTCCAGGGTGGGAAAAGCGCCCCGACCCCCACACTCGGCGTTTACTTAGCAGCATTGGGGCGTTTACTAAACAGCCCTGCCCTGTTCGATCCCTTCCCTGGGTGCGTTTATCGAGGACGCCGGCGGCGCATTACCGGCCGCTCCCTGGGAAATTGCCGAAGTGGTGCGCAGCATCGAAAGTCGTGACGCGGCGCGTATGCCAGCTATCAAATGGCCGTCGGCCCATCTCGCCACCGTGCTTGGGTTTTGGGTCGCGGAGTCCCCATGGACGCTTCTTGGGGTCTCTCGAGAGGGCTCTCGGGGGCCTCTGCGGGGGAGTTTAGGGCCCTCTTGGGGCCTCTTGGGGCTCTCTTGGGGGCCTCTTGGGAGGCTCTGCTCTTAGAGCCTCCTGGGGGCCTCTTGGGACCGAAAGCTCGAATTGTTCACTCGGGCTCCCCTTCTGGGCGCCCTCTTGGAGCCGTCCTGGGGCCCCTCTTGGGCCGTCCCAGGTGCCTCTTAGGCCATCTTGGGGCCCTGCTGGGCTGGCTTGGAGCCCTCTTGGGGGCTTATTGGGCCGTCCTGGGGCGATTTCGGGGGCCCCTTGGGCCGTCCTGGAGCGTCGGTAAGCCGAAATGGCGAGAACGCGAAAATCTTTACAAAACCATCGAAAAATCAATGATTTGTGTCTCTTGGGGGTGCTCTTGGAGGCCTCTTGGGCCGTCTTGGAGGCGTTTTGGGCCGTTTGGAGGCAATCTTGGGCGTGTTGGAGCGATCTGGAGCCGTCTGGAGGCTCTCTCGGACCGTCTTGGGACTCTCTTGGACCGGCTTGGGGCGCTCTTGGGTCGTCCCCGGGCTGTTCCGGACCTTCAAGGGCCCCATGGGAGAGGGGGGGTCCGGGTGGAGTTGACAAAACCGTGTGTGCGTACCACCTCGTTTTGCTGCGTTGCATCGCCATCACCAGCATCATCATCCTTATCATCATCATGAGCCTCAAACCAGCTACGGAAGAGAGTACCCGAGTTGAGAATTTAACATGATATCTTCCCACATGGAACAACACACATACGATGATGATGACGAGTATGTGTTTCAAGATGCTGCTGATGACGAGTATGTGTTTCAAGATGCTGCTGATGGCGATGATGATGACGAGTATGTGTTTCAAGATGCTGATGATGACGATGATGATGACGAGGATGTGTTTCAAGATGCTGCTGATGACGATGGTGATGACAAGTACGTGTTTCAAGATGTTGCTGATGATGATCGTGGTGACGAGCATGTGTTTCAAGATGCTGCCCTTTCCTGTCGGTCCCCGCCCTATCCTCGGAGATGGCGGTTTCGACATCACCCTGGGATCCCCCAGATCTTCCCCTGTCAGGGGCAGGTCGCGAGTAGCAGAAATGAGCGTTAACGAATCTTCTGGTATGCGCTGAGGGCAATCCATTATCATAATGGGCCGCACAGGGCATCATCGGGAAGCACAGCCCACCAGACTAAGGGAATAACCCCCTGGGTCTAAGCACCCATAGCGGGTTCCATAAGCCCTCCTCTCCTCCGTCCTCCTCTTCCTCCTCCACCTCCGTCTCTTCCTCCTCACCTTACTTCCAGTGGGTGAGCGCCGAAGCGCGTTCCAAAGGGACATCTTAAGCCTTAGTCCCTCGATTCTCCGGCCTCTGGAGGCCCGAAACAAACATGAGCGAATTACAATACTCTCTGTTTTGCAGCGGGTAACAACAAAAATCCTTATGTGATAAATTACACATAGAATCTGCTGGCAGGTTATGACAATGTTGATGACGATTATGCTTCGCAAGGGGTTCCGAAGGCCACTGCTGATGACGATGGTGATGACATGTACGTGTTTCAAGATGCTGCTGATGATGATGATGACGAGTATGTGTTTCAAGATGCTGCTGATGACGATGGTGATGACGAGCATTTGTTTCAAGCTGTGCTGATGACGGTGGTGATGACGAGCATGCGTTTCAAGATGCTGCTGATGACGATGGTGATGAAGAGCATGTATTTCAAGATGCTGCTGCTGATGACGATGATGATGACGAGCGTGTGTTTCAAGATGCTGCTGATGACGATGGTGATGACGATCATGTGTTTCAAGATGCTGCTGATGACGATGGTGATGACGGGCATGTGTTTCAAGATGCTGCTGATGACGATGGTGATGACGATCATGTGTTTCAAGATGCTGCTGATGACGATGACGATGATGATGACGAGTATGTGTTTCAAGATGCTGCTGATGACGATGATGATGATGATGACGAGTATGTGTTTCAATATGCTGCTGATGACGATGGTGACGGCGAGCATGTGTTTCAAGATGCTGTTGATGACGATGATGATGACGACGAGTATGTGTTTCAAGATTCTGCTGATGACGATGGTGATGACGAGTAGGTGTTTCAAGATTTTGCTGATGATGATGGTGATGACGAGATGCGTTTGGAGCACTGCATTCTCATCATGAGCTTCACAAGGCACAATCGGGTGGGAAGCACAGCCCACCAGACTAAGGGAATAGTTCCCTGGGGCTACGCACCCATAGCGGGTTACATAAGTTCTCCTCTCTTTCCCCTTCTTCCTCCTCCTCCTCCTCCTCCTCCTCCTCCGCCTCCACCTCCGTCTGTTCCTCCTCGCCCCTCTTACTTCCAGCGGGTGAGCGCCGAAGCGCGTTCCAGAGGGATATCTTAAGCCTTAATCTCTCGATTCGCCGGCCTCCAGAGGCCCGAAACAAACATTAGCGGATTACATATTGATTTCTTTGTTGTTGAATTACAAAGGGAATTCTTTTGTTGTGAACTACACGTTGTTTTCTTTTGTGGCGGATTACAGCAAGATTCCTTTTGTGGAGGATTACACAAGGATTTCTTCTGTGGAGGATCGCAAAATGATTCCTTGTGTGCCGCATTACATAGGAAATCCTTGTTTGGTGAATTACAATTTGTTTCCTTGTGTGGAGGATTACAAAGGGAATCCGTTTGTGGAGGATTACAAAAGGATTCCTTTCGTGGGGGATTACAAACTGATTTCCTTTATCGGCCTTCCTGGTAGTGAACCAGGGGACAAAAGAGAGAAAAAAAAAAAGGAAATCATTGAAAATTAGGGAAATTGTAATTTTTCAATGAATTCCCCATGCTTTGAAGCAGACACATATAACAAAACACAGCATGTTCCAAGGTATTGAAGCCGAAACCATATGAAAACACAGCATTTTGGCATTCGGAAGGCGGAAATGTTTTTTTTTATATATATATATGTTTCTGCTTCAAAACATTGGACATTTATTGAAAAACTGAAATTCTCAGAATGTTCAATGATTTCCTGATTGTTTTTTTTCTCTTGTCCCCTGGTTCACTACCAGGAAGGCCCCCAAAGAAAATCAATGTGTAATCCTTCACAAAAGGAATGCCTTTGTAATCCTCCACAAAAGGGATCCCTTTGTAATCCGCCACAAAAGGAAACAAGTTGTAATTCACCACAAGAGGATTCCTTCGTAATACGCCACAAAAATGAATCAATTTGTAGTTTGCCACAAAAGAAATCATTCTGTATTCCGCTACTTTGAGCAATTCCTTTAGAGATGACGAAAAGAATAAGCCAAAGGAAAGCAAAAACAGAAAAAGTAATAAACCAAAAACCGAGGTGATACACACACACACACACGGTTTGGTCAACCTTACGGGGGGTCCGGCGGCAGAGAGGGCCCCCCTCGGAGGGACTTCAAAGAGGTTTTTGACCAAGCACTGGCGAAGGGGGCTAAAAGTTGTGCCAAA